GAAGGAAGGAAGGAAGGAAGGAAGGAAGGAAGAAAGGAAGGAAGAAAAGAAAAAAGAAAAGAAAAGAAAAGAAAAGAAAAAAAGTAGAGATTCTTTTTTGTTTGGTTGGTTTTGGTTTTGGAGACAGGGTTTCTATGTGTAACAGTCCTGGCTGTCCTGGAATTCACTTTGTAGACTCAAGAGACCTGCCCACCTCTGCCTCCTGAGTGCTGGGACTAAAGGCATATGCTACCACTACCCAGCTCTAGTACAGATGCTTAGTCCTATCCTAAACCTATAGAATCGGAAACACTGGGGTGGAGCCTTTAATGAGCTCATCACATGATGCTGGGCATGCTTAAAGTTGAGGTCCATGATACAAAAATTGCTCAGTAGGGCCTGGTGAGACGCATCCGTGGGTAAAGGTGCTTGCTGCTAATGCTGAAAACCTGAGTTCAGTCCCTGGGATACACCTGGTGGAGGAGAGAACGGACTCCCACGGGTTGTTTTCTGACCACCACACATGCACTGTGGCACATGTACACACACAAACACATGAAATATAATTTTAATACATTTATGAAAACTTTAAAGAACTTGAAAAAAAAAACACACAGCAAGATTAACCAGCTCCAAAGCCCACCCATCTCAACAGACTTCTGTACAGCCAAATTAGCCATTCTGAAGCTGTGGAGTTTCTTGTTTGATTCTACATTTCACCATCAAATATATTTTTATGCAGTTATCTACAACCGAAAACCAAAAAATCCACAATAGAGTTAAAACTAGAAAAGTAGTTCGTTGGCATCTTCTTTCATGACTCATGTCCAAAATGTAATTCTGTGTCTATGTGTGGCTTTTTTCCAGATAGGGTTCCTCTGTGTAATCCTGGCTGTTCTGGAACTCGCTCTGTAGACCAGGCTGGCCTCAAATTCAGAGATCCACCTGTCTCAGTCTCCCTAGTGCTGGGATTAAAGATGTGCGCCACTACGCCTGGCCTCAAAATATAATTAAAAAGGAAAAAAAAGAAATTATCTATCCAGAATTGATGATTTGCTTACGGCCAAGCGCAAACCCTCCCAAATGCACCAACTATATCTAACCGAAGTAGGGAATCCATGTCTAGAACCCGCCTTTGAAGTAACATTAGCCTTAAGATAAAAGCACTGGCTTCTGGAAGTTGAGAGGACAGCTCCATGAGTAAGACCCCTTGCTCTGAAAATGGGAGCATCTGAGTTTGAACCTCCAGCACCCACAGCAAAAGCCAGGTGTGGCTGTGCATGCTGGCAACCCAGCATCGGAGGCCAGAGGCAGGCTGATGCTGAGTCTGGGTGCTCACTGGCCAGCCAGCCTAGCCAAAATGGTGAGGTGTCATCTGAAGGCTGAGCAACAGAGGAAGACATCTGCCATACTGAGGGGTTTGCATATTCACGTGCACACAACACACATACACACACACACACACACACACACACACACACACACACACACCTATTCTTTCTCTTAAATGTCCATCTCTGTACAAATGACCCTTTATTCTTTTTTGTTTGTTTGTTTGTTTTGTTTTGTTTTTTGAGACAGGGTTTCTCTGTGTAGCTTTGTGCCTTTCCTGGAACTCGCTCTATAGACCAGGCTGGCCTCGAACTCACAAAGGTCCACCTGCCTGTGCCTCCTGAATGCTGGCATTAAAGGCATGCGCCACCGCCGCCCAGCGACCCTTTATTCTTGACGTGCAGGTCTGCACTGATGTCTGGCTTTTCACAGTCATCCCTCAGAGCCCCGCAGGCAGATGGCTGGCTCCTCAGGGTCAGCGTTAGGTCCATCAGATGCTTTGTTGCTTTGTTCTGTCAGGCCCCCTTCCTGCCCTTTGTCTTTCTGTGACAAATGACTACATGTTCCCCTGGCTGGCTGCCCTCTGACCCTCACCTGTTTTCCCAGGGTGTCGCAGCCCATCATGTTCTGTTTTGTTCTGTAGCCCCGATGTGTCTGTCTGTGCTCCTTCCCATGCCTACCTGCCTCTGTGACGCTCTTTAAAGTCACAGGTTCCTAGCACCTTTAAGGGGAAACATCGTAGTTGAAAAGTACCTCCGGGTGGGGAAGGAGAAGCAGCGGGAAGCTGGGGGCGCAGGCAGGTGTCTGGGACAAGGGAAAGAGGGACAGACCTCTCTGTTTCCTCCACTCAGCCCACCCGGCCTGACCGAGGCTGGTTTGTTGCCCCCTTTGGGAAGAACCCTTGGTGGGTGTACCCAGCGAGCATCCTGCCCGCCCTCCTGGTGACCATCCTGATCTTCATGGACCAGCAGATCACCGCTGTCATTGTCAACCGGAAGGAGAACAAGCTAAAGGTGAGGCTGAGACACGAGCAGATTTGGGGGACCAGAGGGAGAGCATTCTTCCTTTCATACTTTGGGGGGATAAGTCCCCCCTTTGGTGTCTTTAAGGTGAGAGATATGTGCCCTGGAACAGGACCAATGTGACTTGGTCTGAGAACCAGTTGCAAGCCCAGGCTGGGTCTTGGGCACAAGCTCCCTGCATACCTCAAAATGTGTCTCTGGCTTGTGCTTCCTGACGGTGAAACCTGGGCACCTCACACATGCCGATGGGTATAGGCCTAGAATCAGGAGGCAGAGGAATCTCCTCAGCCCCACGCTTCCTGGGGTTCCCCTCCTTGCCTTTGGGGCTGAGGAGATTCAGGTCATCACTGACTCAGGCCCCACTTAATCTGGGCCACTCTAGGCTGGGCCCCTTATCTAAAACCTACAGAGAGACTGTGGCCAATGGGCACGAGCTCTTCTTCCCAGAGACCAAACCCAGGGCCTTGCCAAGTCTGAGAATCCCTCTTCTCCACATTTGTGCTCAATTTTTTTAGACAACGTGGCAACTAAAGCCACTTCTGGGCATAGTGAGGCCCAGACACACACTAAGTCCTCGGGGTGAGTGTCTCAGTGGGGCAGACCCCTCAGAATACACTCCGGAAGGCAGGGGGAGCCCTTGAGCCATGATCTACGAAATGGTTGCTTTGGAAAGGATCAGGTTCCCAGAAGCTTCTCCTGTCCCACTGTCCTGCAGAAGGCCGCGGGCTACCATCTGGACCTGTTCTGGGTGGGCATCCTCATGGCTCTGTGCTCTTTCACGGGGCTGCCCTGGTACGTGGCTGCCACGGTCATCTCCATTGCCCACATCGACAGCCTCAAGATGGAGACAGAGACCAGTGCCCCGGGGGAGCAGCCGCAGTTCCTGGGAGTCAGGTAGGACAGAGCAAAGCACGGGCCACCTGAACGGGCGTGGACGTCTTAGGGGGAGAGAGCATGGTTTTTCTTCGAGGTATGTGGGCAAGAAAGGCCTTCCCTGTGGCCACTGAAGTCACAGCCCTAGAGGAATATTCTGAAGAAGAGACAGGTGAAAATTCAATTCTATCAATTCCAAGTGATTTTTTAAATAGTCCCCAGAGGTAACACACACACACACACACACACACACACACACGCACGCACGCACGCACGCACGCACGCACGCACGCACACTCTAGAGCAGTGGTTTTCAACCTTCCAAATGCTGTGATCCTTTAATACAGTTTCTCATGTTGTGGTGACCCCAACCATAAAATTCTTTCATTGTTACTTCATAACTATTATGAACTGTAATATAAATATCTGGTTGCAACCCTCGGGTTGAGCACCACTGCGCTAGAGTCTCACCCGTGGGCCACCGTTGGGCCTCTTCTTGCCCTCTCTTTGTCTTTCCTCAAGACCCTGTAGAGGCCTTCCCATGGGTTCACGTCCTGCCTAACTGCCTGCCGTACCTCTGGAGAGCCTTCCTGGACCCAACCAGGATGCCAGCCTGTCGCCCTGGCTTGTCCCTTCTGTTCTTCTCCTTGCCTGCCCCACATCAGGCAGGAACCAAACTGGTTCATGCAGGAAAATACATCCTCTGCCCCTTCGGGGACTCAAGGTCCATGCCAGACCCTGGTGTTCTCCAAAATGGCTGCCCTGGGAGCTTACTACCCGGCATGCATGGGGGCGACCGCTTTGCTTGGTTGAAGTGCTCAAGATTGGCCGGGCAGAGTCCTTTCCCGGCTCACTCCTGGACTTAAGCCGTCTACCCAGAGCTACAGCTCTAGTCTGGGTTGTGCCAGGGCCTTCTTGCCCCTGCCCGCTGCTGCCTCCTCTACCGGCAGACTCTTGCCCCATAGCTTCAGCTGTGATTCCCAGGGGTAGGAACTCAACACCAAAGCAGGGCGCCAAGCACTTTACATAGCAGTGTCGTCAGCAGCATCTCAACTGTGGTCAGCACAGGGTGTTCATGGCCTGGCATGATGCCCACAGGTAGGTAGCAGAGCCGAGTCGGCCTAAGTCCACACAGCTCGAGTCCCAGCTGTTAGGCACCACACTGCACGAACGACCTTCCTGACACACCTCAAAATGCCCTGGCCCAGGTCGGGTGCTCCCCGCCTTCCCTAACCAGGTCAGCTAGGCCTTGGGCGGCAAGGCGGAGCCCGATGAAGCCCCCCTGGAGTCTACAGTGTTGGACATTATAAACTTCAAGTCCAGCAGAGGAGCCGGAGGGGCTGGGGATGGCCGCGGAGGACCTTCCAGGTCGCCCCTGACTGTGTGCTCATCTCCGCCAGGGAGCAGAGAGTGACCGGTGTCCTGGTCTTCATCCTGACAGGCATCTCCGTCTTCCTGGCTCCCATCCTAAAGGTGAGGCTCTGCCCCATTGCCCACAAAGCCCCAGGTCCACCGGCCTGCAGGCCATAAGAAAGGCGAGATGTGGGGCTGGAGAGTTGGCTCAGAGGTTAAGAGCACTGGCTGCTCTTCCAGAGGTCCTGAGTTCAATTCCCAGCAACCACATGGGGGATCATAACCCTCTGTAATGAGATCTGGTGCCCTCTTCTGGCATGCAGGCATATATGCAGACAGAGTACTGTATACATAACAAATAAATAAATCTTAAAAAAAAAAAAAGGTAGCTTCAAAAAAAGAAAAAAGAAAGGCAAGATGTAAACAGGCAATGGTGGTGTTATATATGGTCTGATATGTTGTTATACATGGTCTGATATGTTATACATGGTCTGATATGATTATTGCTGTCATATCTGCTCTGCCCCACCCCTTCCAGGGGCCACTGTCCCCTTTCTGGGGAGCATTCTAACCCAGGGAGGTCTGCAGTGTGCTCACGGATCTCCCAGAGCTGGGCTGGTCCACACTGCCGTGGTTTGGCTCACTCCAGATCTTCTTGCTTTGCCCATTTTCTGAATGTAAACTTTGCAAAGGGGAACCCCAAGCTCTGCAAGTCCCATCTCTACTTCTCCATCTTGTGTGTCTTGGGCACACAAGTGACTTTCCCCCAAAAAATTTCAAAACTCTTCTTACTCACATCCCAACAACTCAAGGACACCACAGCAGGGGTGCATTCCAGGCTGCGTCCCTCGGGAGATCTGCTCTCCAGTCAGGAGTGAGGTAGTCCTGACGGGCCCACTACTCTCTGTTCTCTACCACATCCACCTGCCTATTCATGGTCCTTCTATCAATACCCACATAAGACTTTTCTGTGTGTGTGTGTGTGTGTGTGTGCATAGTGTGTGTGTGTGTGTGTGTGTGTGTGTGTGTGTGTGTGAATGAGTCTGGAGACCATCCATGGAAGCCAGAAGTGTCAGACTCTTCTGGAGTTTGTGAGCCACCCAAAATGTTCTCTGCAAGAGCAGAGTGTGTTCTTGACCCCTGAGCCACCTCTCTGGTTTCTCTACCTTTTTTTTTTTTTTTTTGAGACAGGGTCTCCCACTGAACCTGGAGCTCACAAATTTAGCTAGGCTGGCCAGCAAGCTCAAGGGTTTCTCTCGTCTCTACCTCCACAGCGCTGGGATAACAGATTAATGCCTCTGCACTTGGCCTTTTCACTTGAATCTTGGGGTTTAAACTCAGGCCTTGTGTTTCGTGCAGCAAACGCTTTGCTGAAGGAGCCGTCTCTGCAGCCCAGGACTTTCCTTCCTTACTAAACCTGGTCCGATTCTGTTGCCATTCCCTCCTCCTGCCTCTTACTCTCTTCAAACAGCTGCTTTTGAGCCGGGCGGTGGTGGCGCACACCTTTAATCCCAGCACTCAGGAGGCAGAGCTGGGTGGATCTCTGTGAGTTCGAGGCCAGCCTGGTCTACAGAGTGAGGAGATCCAGGACAGACACCAAAACTACACAGAGAAACCCTGTCTCAAAAAAAAAAAAAAAAAAAAAAAAAAGCTGCTTTGAGGTGACCTTGCAAAGAACAGAGTGAACATCAGATGCACATGATTCTCTCACTATGACAAGTGTTTCTGGCTTGAAAATAGACGCTGGGCGGGCACATCTGAGTTGGGTCCTTCAGAGGAGCGTCTGCATTGTGTATGCATAGATCACCCGCAGATGGGCAGGTATTTCTTGTTTATTTTACAGTGGTTCTTTGCAGGCCAGTGACATAGTTCATCAAGTGAGGGCACCCGCTGCTGAGGCTGCCCATCTGAGTTTGATACCCCGGACCGTGTGGTGGAGGGAGAGAACCAACTCTCAAAGGCCGTCCTCTGACCTTCATACATGCTCGGTGACCTGCACAGGAACACACACACACACACACACACACACACACACACACACACACACACAATCAATGTAAAAAAATAGAGGCTGGAGAGATGGCTCCATGGTTAAGAGCATTGGTTGATCTTAAAGAGTACCTGGGTTTGGTTCCCAGCACCTACACGGCAGTTCACAAATACCTCTAACTCCAGTTTCAGAGGCCCTGACACCCTCTTCTGGCCTCAGTGGGCACCGGGCATGCATGTTGTGCACATGTATACATGCAGGCAAAAAAAATACACTAATATAGATAAAATAAAAATAAATCTTTTTTTTAAGCCGGGTGGTGGTGGCACACGCCTTTAATCCCAGCACTCGGGAGGCAGAG